AAAAAAAAAAAAAGGTATAGTAGTTTTCAAGGATGGATGGTTTTATCTGCAATTAGACTAAACATTTACACGAATTTTGTAACTAACCCATAATTAAACATAGAAGAAGAGGGAAACTTATTAAACTAATGCCTTGGTCAATCAGTGCAGTTAATAATGAGTGGCATACACATCACTGAAGAAGACAAATCTAGAGAATAAGTAAGAGTAAACATCTGAAAAGAAGGATGAAGTTTAAACTGACCTTGACAATACCCGACATCTGAATCAAACCAAGAGTAGACAGATAGGATATCCCAGAGTTTCGACAAATTTTCTTGCTTCTCGTAAAACACTAGTGTTCGGTCAGTGCGGACCACATCAAGTCCTGGCAGAAGTATCACAGAACAATTAAATGAAAAAAAAAAGACTCACAACACATCAATAGCACATAATAAAAGGAAATAGCTACAGACAGAAGCATACAAACCAACCAAGTAATTACCAACCTATTTGATGTAATGTAAGTTTCCAGTTAATCTCTTTCTTGTCCATAGGACCATTACATGGTGGTTGTTCAGTTGAAACATCTGTTATTTCAAGATACATTTCGATTCATTAGTATTTAGTAACTAACATGCAGTTGTGGCTTAACAGCATTGCAACCTTGGGTTGCATTGTATCAAGGAAGGAAATTTCATCATTACCATTTTTTGAACCAAGATTAATTTGCTGAAGTACAATAGGATCTTGCGTAGGTTCACCATTTTCTGTGATTATTGGCGCAGTAACAAATCTTCCGCTTCCAATCAAGGGAAACATATGTTTACAAACTTTCTTCATGCTATCATATTGCGCTCTGAAAGGATAAACATTGTAGAAATCTCAGGTTGTAACTCACCATATTCATTTCACCAAAAATCAGTTTAGATTCAGCGTAGGTTTACATTTTATATCCACGCAAAAACAAAACGTAATTAAGCAAAGCAGCGTTGTCCTTCCTAAGAGGTAAAATAGAAGAGAAAGATAAACGAGACTTTACAAGTGATAAGCGCCTGTAAGTCATAGTAATATTCTTATATACCCCCTCTTCAAGTTGGAGTGTGGATGAAGGTAGTCACACCCAACTTGGATAACAACTTGCTGAAGAGTGTTGCTGGTAGTAATTTGGTGAAGTCAGCCACCTGTGCTGCAGAGTGAACATAGGCTGGCTTGACAAAACCCCCTTTATACTTATAGAGAACCACATGGCAGTCTATCTCAGTTTATCACAAGGTGTTTTATCCTTTCATTGAAAATTGGTTGCATGATTGACACACCACATCGTGATGAAAAGAGGTATTTTCAGCTAAAAATCCTTAGCCACAGAGTGAAGCCATTGTAGCTCACAAACCGTAGTCCCCTGCCTCTGCTGAGGAGCTTGATACTGTAGCTTGTTTCTTGCTTTTCCATGAAATGAGACTATCTCTTAAGAAGGCACAATATCCTGTGATTGGTTTTCTTGTGTCTTTACATGTTGCCCAATCAGCATGACGGAAGGCATTGAGGATACATAAATTAGAGTGTAATCCAAGAGAAGGTGTACCTTTTAAGTATTTGAGAACAGAAATGGCTGCATCCCAATGAAAGAAGTAAAAGGATCATTCAGTTGTTGAGCTTCATAACTCATCGGGTCTGGACTGTCTGGTCATATTCAAGTACAAGAGCCTTCCAATAAGTCTCTTATATTTTTCAGGGTTTCCATCAAATCCTGTAAGCTTAAGTTCTAGTGGTAAAGGTGTTGTAGGCACTTTGCAATCCTCCAAGCTTACATCTCTTATAAGATCTTGTACATATTTTATGTGGCGCAAGTATGTTCTAAAATCATCTCTTGAGGTTTCGATCCTAAAAAATACCCTGCAATCCCAAGATCCTTGATAGTGAACAATTTATGCAACTATTTATTCAATGCAGCAACATGATTACAGTTTGATCCTATGATTAATAAATCATCTACATACACAAGCATTGCAAGAAAATCTCCATGATAGTGACCTTGTGTTAAACTGATTCAAGCCAAACTCTAACAGTCTTTTAGACAACTCCAATTCCATTCTCTAGATGCCTATTTCAAGCCATATAAACTCTTAATTAACTTGCAAACTTGTCCCTCTCTTCCTTTGGAGTATCTTTGTGCAGATTCATGTAAACCTCTTCTGCCAAATGCCCATGTAAGAAGGCATTATCCACATCTAATTGCCATAGTCCTTTATTGCAGCCATAACCAAGAACATTCACACTATAACAAGTTTAGCCACTAGTTAGAACACACCAAAATAATCCAACCCTCAAACCTAGTTATAGCCCTGGGTTACAAACCTTGCCTGGTAAATTTCAACTTCACTATTTGCCCTTCTTTTTTATCTAATACCCGTTTTTTAATCTATTGCCTTCTTCCCTGGTGGTTATCGCAAGACAATAACCAGGTGTGATTGTCTTATAATGCCCTCTGTTCTAAGCCCATAGCTTCAACCCACAGTTTGTCTTGTTCATAGCTAACTGGTTCTTGATTTGTTGCGAAATCAACAAAGAAAGTTCTTCCCTTCAGGTTTACCAATGTTACCTTTAGGGTCAATACGACATACATAATCTTACAGTGTTTTTCTTCTCAATCTCCATAATGATGAAGTGGCGACAATCTTCTCTTCTTCATCAGATATACTGTGGTAGTTTGACTCTGAAATATCTGCCAGTGTGGTTGAACAATCTTCAGTTTCCTTTCCCTTGTAAGGACATGTATCAGCTACAAACACCACATCTCTTGATATGAACTTTCTTTCATCCTCAATATTAAACAAGACGTGTCCCTTGAAGCCTCTAGCATATCTATCCAATGAAAACACACTTGTGTAACCTTGCCTCTAATTGGACAGGTGCTGGCTGTATAGACCAAGCATCCAAATAGCTTAAGTCTTTGATAGTCACCCTTTCAAAAGAAGTCTCCTAATTTAAAGTCACACTAGGTAATCAGCTTATAATGTGAGCTGCTTTGAGAACGACCACATATAGCCAGAACTTAAGAGTCAGGTCATACGTGGCTGAAATAGTAGATCTCTTCCAACTTCCAGCTTTCTCTGTACTACACCATGTTGTGGTGTATACACATGTTGTTTAATGAAGAATCCCATTTTCTTGAAGTACCCTTTGACACTCGTCCTACAAACTCTAAGAATCTCATTATCAGATCTTAATTGTTTCACATGTTTACCAAACTTTGTTTTGACCATGATGATAAAGTTCTTAATGAGACCAAATGTCTCTACTTTAGTATTCATGAGGAAGATCCACACACCTCTACTAGCCATCCATTATGGTTAAGAAATATGGGGTTTTAGTAAAAGATTCTTCTCAACAAGGACCTCAAATGTCCACATGAATCAATTCAAAGCAACAACTTGTTTGAATATTGCTGTTAAGAAAAAGTAGGTTATTCTACTTTAACTTGAAACACACTTCACATCATAAAATTTTCACATTATTATCATTGCAATGTTCCTTAAGGAAGGTGATATGCTGCAAAACTCAAGATGAAGCATGTTCTAAATTTTTACGCAGTTCTTCCAGTGACCCAGAGACACAGGCAGGATAGACCTAAAGCTCTTTTTCTATCATGATGAACCAACACATATAGTTTGTTTCTAAGTTCTCCAGTACCTATTACCCTTCATGTTCCTCGATTCTGCACGTTACAGCTTGTTTATGTGAAAGTGCATTTTAAATTTTGATGCCACTCACACTTGTGTGACTAAGAGTAAGATGTATTTGAATGAAGAACAAATAACACTCCATAAAGCACTAAATCATCTGAAACCTTTCTTCACCAACTCTTGCAATCATTATTGTGATTCCATCTGCCAATGCACATGTTAATGCACATTTTTGCAATCATCTGTGTTCTTAGATCCTTCATATTGCTCATCAATTCACTGTTAATGCACATGTGTTCACTGTTCCTAGAAGTCGCTTGCCTCCGCTAGGCGCTCGACCAGCGCTTAGCACCTAGGCAGGGCCTAGTTGGCGCCTAAAAATCAAGATTAAGTACCTTATTTTTTTATTTATTTTCACTACCTACGAAATAAAACTATCTCAATATATAATAATCAACACACCTATGTAAAAATAATAATATTAATATATTAAAGAAAACATGATAACGAAATAATATAACAAGTATTTATATTAAAAAAATTGAAAACTTGCCGCCGAGCCTGCCTAGGCGCCACCAATTCGCCCCCCAAACCCGCCAAGCCCGCCTAGGAGAGCCTACGCCAGCCTAGGCGGCGCCTGGCCGATTTTTTCAGCCGATTTATGCAAAATCGAAGGTGTTCGGGCAGCACATAGCGCCTAGGCGGCGCCTAGGCCAATTTTTAGTACATAGATGGATATCCATTTCACCAAGCAACTCAAAGTAGCATGTTTAGTTTTAGTAATAAGCTTAAACAAACATGGAGTATTAGAATTTAGAACAAGCTTAATCTACATTAATCTAGCAAAACATAATTCATTGGAAGAAAGATGCACTTCCATGATGCCCTTTTCTTGTCGATTGCTCTCTTCCTCTTGCACATGCATGCCTTGGTTTCAAGCGAAAGAGGTTGCATATCTCAAGAACTAATTAAAATTGAGGAAAACAAGCAAAAAAGAAAGAAACAGAGCCGCCTACTTGCTAATAAAAGATTATCATATAAAATTAAACAAATTAGAGTACTCATTTCCCAAAGTTGCAACTGCAACTTGATTATGTGAACACAAACTTTTTGCAGAAAAAGCAACACATTATTCCATACAATGGACAAAAAAAGCATGGACTTAACTGAGTTTGCACATGAAAAGAATTACCAAGAAAAGATGGTCATTGAAGTAAGATAATCAGCGGTATTGATTACCTTCGACTTTGTCGTATTTGCACTCGTTCCTCATAAGTGCTCATAGGATCATAACAACCCAATAAAAATTCCCAAACTTCACCTCTAATTGTTGGGTGAATCCCCTGCTTAGTGAGAATAACAAATTTCCTCAATTAATCCCTTTTTATTTTTTTATTATATTTTGAATAATCACCATAACGGATCATAATTTTCTCCTCATCTTAATTGATGCATTGTTGACAGATGTATAAGATAATAAGACAAGACAAAAGCTAAGACAAGAGACTTAATAAGTAAAACTCTTTCTGATATGATGAATTGAACTCAACACGTTATCACCCCAGTTTCTGAGGATAAAAGGAAGAATCATTTGGTCAACGGAAAGAAAATTATTAAAGACTACAACAGACCTTAGTCAAGAAGACACATATAACTACACTGAGGAAAAGTCTTCTTGCAAGTATAATAATGCTTAGAATGCAAAAAGCAGAAGTTATAAAAAATATAGGGAAAAGCTTACCCCACGGTGAATTCGACCGAGTGTTTTGCCTATATCAAGATGACCTTCCGGGGAGAAAGCAGCTTTCCATTTTCGGACACTTAAAGTTTTGCCAGCCTAGTTGTGTAGAAAAAGAAGCTGCTTTAATACATAGAGTCGAATCAAAGCTAGAGTTTTAGCTTACACTAAATGAGCAATATTTCTAATGAAAAGCCAGGCACAAAACGCTAATTGAAACGAGTTAGTTGCATGAACATATTTTAGCGAGACAGAGAACATAATAGAATAGGAACATCCAATTGACAAGGCATAACTCCATTTATGACGACTGAAGAAATAGTCTAGTTAGGCCATTGTCTTTTAACCTCAAGGACCCTCCTTAACTACAAAGCTTCACACACTATTCTTAACATTATCTTCAAGATTCATACATTGAAAAAGCGATAACAAATAAATGACCAAATGAGGAAGACGAGACTCGTTCGGATTCGAGGCCGAATCCTCTTCAACAAGGGGAGGATGATGAAGACGAGACCGCCATAGCATATCTTAATAAATATGACCGACTCCGGGTTTAGCCTATTTATTTTCTCGTTATTATTCGAACTGTTTTTATTTTATTTCCATTAGTTATTTATTATTTTGAGTAGGCAAATAATTACCTTGCAGTTGTTGGGCAAGGGTAGACTTTCTCTTATTTATATGTTATCTCAAAGAGGAGAGAAACAGTTGATGATTGAATAAAAAAATTACTGTTCGTTCTTTTTACGAGAGAGTATCTCATTAACTGCCCAATTGTACTACGCTCTACAACACCAAACAACCGTACTTGATAGCATAACAATCATAGCATAACAAATAAACTCCAAAGTTGTAAATGTAAATTCAACAGGACTTCAAGATGTCTTCTCTCTCTCTCTCTTGTATATGAACTCATACTGTTTCTCAGACAAATCTACCACTGTGAAATGAGATTTACAGCTCAATCAAACGACAAAAACTTGCAACAAACTAAGCACATCACAAGATAAAATGATTGTTATCATCTTATGAGACAGAAAAGGATCATAAACAAACCTTGATTCTAAACTTGCTTTCAGGAACATCAGCGCAATCAGGCCGCACCTCATAATAAGAATCAGCCGGAGTTCCAGGGTCCCTCCACATAATCTCCAACATTTTTCTTTCCGAATTAAAAAAACAATCCTATCCTCGAAAATTAGTTTAAAAAAATGTATGATCTTGCAAATCAATCGATTCGAGGATACGATCGAACCTCGGACAGAAAAGCTCCGCACTTTAATTCAAGGGATCACTTACAAATCTAGAATCTCGGATAAGGAACATGAAAGTCGTTTCTCATTCAGCGGCTCTCGCTCAAATTTATCAATCGACGATGCCGGCTCTGCAAATATTCGGGCCGACCCGGAGCACAAACAACCGCCCGCTTTGAATTCCCCGTTTATTGATTGTTACCAGAGGAACGAGCTTCACAGGAAACGAAAATGGCGGGGGATCGCGGGACTTGGTGCCAGCTCCGCTTGATTCGCGGGGAATGGTCAAATGTAGGAGGTGGAGCGTGGAGACCAGTTGCTGGCATCGGAGCGTTTGGAGAAGAGGGGCAACAACTACTATTCAGATGGAAATGGTACCCATTGACTACACTCATGTCAATAAAAATAAATATTTATATTATGAAATGTTATATTTTATTATATTTATGTTTATTATATTTTTTAAAATTATGACATTTTCTAATGATAGTATATAAATTTGTAAGAAATAATATATCAGTCTAATAATTAGTTCGACCTCACACATAATCTACTAATAATATTAATTATATTTTAAAATGATGAGTGCTCATTTTTATTGAAGACTCTTTTTAATCTTTACCAAGTACTCATACTACTTGACTTAATATAATTTTATGGTTTTAATCAATGTTTGAAATATCGTATCGTATTGGTCGGTATTGCCGGTAATATTTGATACTAGTGGTCCAGCTAGTACGGTTACACTTCAAATATCGTTTTGGCAAAAATACCAGTTTATACATGTTCCATACCGAAAAGTTTTGGAAATTATCGGTCAAATTACTAGTTGGTACCAAATTTTTAATATATATATATATATATTATATTCCTATATAAAGATATAAGTCACTCTTACATGGTGACACATGGCAATGTCAGGAGACGACATGTTAGCAAGCCTTTTTTTCGAACTAAGCATAGAAACAACGTCGTTTTCTCTTTTCTTCTTGACATGTTCAGTGGACAAAAATGCCCGCTGTAGGTCACTTTTTGCGGCCAAATTAGCAATTTATATGTGACAAAAAAATTTCTGCTGCACGCCACCATCACACATTTGTTTTATTATTGCAGAAAAGGGTATGGGCAAAATATGTCTATCACTCTCCGCTTTCGAAAGAGCCTGCACCAAATGAGATGGTGATGAAATTCCCACCTAACAAGCTTCAAACCTTAAATCAAACAACACTCGGTCACCAACAATTGAAGCCTCCAGTTTTTTTCCCCAAAAATGTTCTCTATTCATTTTTCTAGTCTCCTAACAAACCCTAAAATCTTCGACATCTTCTCAAGTGAATACTCCTTCGGTGATGCGCACGTAGGAAACAGATATCATGCACCGTGACGGTGTGAGAGGTGAAGATGATTGAGAAGGTGGCTTGGCAAATAAAATATGGAAAACTGAAGTGGAGATTGTGTTGCATTCTTTGCGTGGGCTTCGAAGTGGTTATCGAGAGTCGATTGATCTGTAGATTTGGAACCCTCGAGTGGTTGTCGAAATTCCTAAGCTCTACCCAGTTCTTCTTCTGTAGCTGCGAGCGAGAGGACTAGTAAGATGTCCCGAACCCTATTTTATTTATTTATTTATTCTGATCTCCTATGGACATAAACGACACTACTTTGATAGTGATATGGCAAAATGGAGAAAATTGGGAAACTCAATTTTTAATTTTTCTTTCTTCAACCTTCACCTCTATCACGTCCCTAGTGTCGGCGATGTTACTTATCAGCACCGATATGAATATCCCAATGCCAACCAACATGAACCACGAACCTACACCCTCTGCCATGTTTTGAGGCTTTCCAGATTGCTATCTTCTAGCACACCTCAATCGGAAGGACCGCGTGCGCGTTCGGCGGGTTGCGATGTTAGTAATGATTTTTAGGTGCCTTGTTTGCAAAATTTAATAATTTGTTTCTTTTGTGAAAATTTTCATTTTTTACCTGTTACATTGGAGAATTTAGTGTTGAATATACAATTTGGCTAATTTCTGATCTCAAAAATTGAAGTGATTTATTGGGCTCATACTTCAATTTTTTTTTGCAACATGACTTTAGTTGCTTTAGTTGTATTCTTTCCAGTTTTCACATCTATGAAAATGCAGGACATTTTGTGAGTGCTTGTGCTAGTATCTTGAAGTTGAATGTGTTCCATAAGGAGTACAGGATCAAGGAAGATCAATGACTTTCTTTATTATGAATTTATCATGTTCCGACTATGAGCATCAAAAGTCTAGAAATTAGCTTACGAATTCATGGTTGTAAATATTGTTTTCTTATATGCTATTGCAGATCTCAATAGGAATTGATGCAGAAAAGTTCATACACGCTCGATGAATTAAAATAACTATTTTCTAGAAGAATGGTTTGTTATATTTCAATTTGTGTATTATCCTTCCATATACCCAAATTGGACATCAAATATGCGTGGTTTTAGCATGATCATATTTAAATTTTAGTTCATCAGTAAACATCAATGATGTAAACATACCCAGTTGTATGTGTACGATGATTTACTATATTAGTGATGTAAATCTGTGATACTCATGTCAGCTAAGTAATTGATCTAGCCTCTCAGTTCTTTTATCTTAGTTTTATTAAATGATATTGAACTGTTATTTCATACATGAAGTTAGAAGTGAATCGCCTTGATATGATCAAAGAAATACCCAAAAAGATACTAGCATTTGCAAAGTTTTTTTTAAGAAATCCCCGACTCGCATGATAAGGTGGTTCTACTGAAAATTGTTGTACCAACCAGAACTAATGTTGCTAAATGTATAGTCTTACGATGGCTTTATAATTCTTTATTTTTTGATGTTTCTACTCACGGTCGTAAAGTAATAGATGAATTTGAGAAAGACGGCCAAAATTATAAAGGGTGTGACATGCTTGGAAAGGCCTTCTCGCAGGAGTTGAACACTTTCAAGATTCCACTGCTCAAAAGTTGTATGGTATGGACTCTAACATTTTTTAGATCTCACTGCTCAATAGTCGTACATGTGCTAACATTTGGAGAAGAAAAATAATAACATCAATTAAATGAGATGTGTAAATGAAAAAAATCAAGTGAGGAGAGAAAAAAAATACAATCTCAACTGAATAAATAATTATTAAATAGATAATAATACATATATAAGAATTTTATTAATTAGGGTTCTTTGAAGAAAATTTTACGTCATATGTTCTTTAGTTTCACATAGAAATTGGTTAAAAAAAAATACACGCAAGTCTCATGTTGCTTTCGAGGTATGCTAAGAATTCTATGTTTGATCTCCTTCTCTCTTGCAGTTCATATGAGTATTGAACGCCTAAAATAAAAGGGTTATTGTTGTAAGACAATTACTTATGAATGTTATGTTGGGTTCAGGCAATGGATCGTCATGGGTAGGAAGTTCTACTTGATATTGTTTATTATGAGTTATGTTGTTTATTGTTGTGTTTCAGTTCCAAAAACATGCCCCTGAGAGTTGTTTTATGCGTCCTTCTGACATCATTCTTGCTCCTAGCGAGGGATGATTTGAATTGGTAATAATTTGGCTATAAATTTTTTCACCTCTATTTTCTGTTGGTAAAAATTTGGGAAAATGTATCCATGAATACCGAAGACATGGATTATCATGCACTCGTTGGATAAAACTGGATCTTGCAATTCTTTGTATTCATTAATATTCAAGTTTCAAGTTTGTAGAGCCCCTTGAGAACAATAAAAAGCTAATGGACCATATAAGCCAGGTAAAACTCAAACTCATGTGCCTCAAAGTGAAGGGGCTACATATCTTAAATGGTTCATCCCTTGTTTATCCTTTTCTTTGCCTTGAAAAAAAAAACACTTTAAAAATAAAAATCTATAAAAATATAATACTAACTATAGATGACGTTAAGTAGAACAAATTTGTTGACCCTAGAGCGCTTATCTCTTACAATGATGTCTAAGTAAATGTCGAATTAAATATTTAGCAATAAAAAATTCAGTCAAAATTAATTGGGACAAACCCAAGTTTTATAACTGATTTCTCCAACAGTAAACTCTTTTTCTTTACTTAAGATCTATTTCTTTTGGTGCGGTTAGTTTAATGACCATAAGGATCAAGTGGTTGTTGTAACGCCCCGTTGATTTTTAAAGAATAATCACGGGCTTATCCAAAAATCACAGTTAAATTTTTTAAATTCATTTTTCGATTTAAAAAATTTGACGGTGTTACTCATTTATTACACATACACATCATCATATATAGCTCAAACCATACAAAAGCATACGGGAATTCATTACCCAGTTTAGCTCATGGGATCTTATTATCCAAATCATCATAATCATTTTATCAAACATAATCATCATATTCAATATCCCATCATCAAGTTTCAAACCAATTCATCTGGCTCAACATATCATCATATGTTTCGAAAACATCATCATGTTCGAAAAATTCCAAAACAAGTTCATCAATAATGCGGAAGCATAAATAAGTCCTAACACATCATGAAGTGACCGACCCACTCGTCTTCTGTTGTCATGCCTGCCACCTGCTCAACCTGAAATTGGGGAAAGGGGGGAGGGGAGAACATGGGAGTGAGCACACCACTAGCTCAATACTATGCACATAAATCAAGTATAGTGGCAGATAGTATGGTCGCAGCATGAACATGAATCAATAAAATTATCACATCTCCAATCAATCATATCATATAATACTCATGTGCACATCTATATAAGCCACTGAAGGTCGATACCGCACACAACAATGGGAGTACATGCCGAAGGTCAATACCACATCCTACGACAAGGCCAATCATTAGGCAATTAAGGAGACTGCCTCTCATTAGGTACCGTCGACGGTCGATACCGCATCCGACGATGATTGATAC